CTTGTGTTTCCTTGGTTGAATTACTTTCATCTCTTTGAGTTGAGATGTTGATTTGGAGTGATACAAATCTGAAATGCATAGAACGTTATAATACAATGCTACTTCAAACAAAATTACATATATATAAATAAATGAGAACAATGATATTTACCTCACCAAGTCATTTGTTATGAGGACTCAGGTTAGACAAGGTCAAGTGCTGAAACCACCTTTGAAAGCCTAGTTTGACTTGAGGAGAGGACACTGAGGCAAAGACACTACAGAGGAAGCACCCACAAAACAGGAGCAGTGGTGGCCAGTGCCAGGGGCACCCCCAAAGTGAACTCCAGGAAGATGGAGTTCCTTTCCTGTCTTCATGACGGGCAAATGGATGAGCTGGGTCTACCAATGCACACACACAAGCCCATGAGCATGACAGCCCGACGCCATTAAGAAGTGACAATATCTTATTTCTTTGAGAAAAAATGGGAGATGCAAGAATCCATCAGGGAAGTGATCTCTGGAAGCTGGATTTTAAAAACTTGTTTTTCCCATAGAAACAGAAAGCAGACTGGTGGGTGATGAGATGGGAGAGGGCAAGAGTGGTTGTCCATGTGTATGGCGCTTTCTTCTGGGATAATAAAAATGTTTTGAAATTAAAAAAAAAAATCATTGAACTGTAAAAAATTTTTAAAAATTTTGTTTTTTAAGAAATGGTGTTTCATGATTTTTTTTTTAAATTTGTGCTATGATCCTAATCAGGATAGAAATCAGTTTTTAGGAAGTTAAAGATATAGAGGCTCCTTCCTTACATAAGTACCAATACCTTAATTCCTCAATTGATTGGTTAGTATTCACTACAATTTTTATGAGCATCAAACACTATTCTATTTGAACAAAGCTTCTGTTTTCTGTGGATGAAATTAAAACTGTTATTGTTAATTCTCGATTAGCATCAGTTACAAAACCATGTAGTTGTGTCCCCCCATCACCAGCATGGCCAAGATTAAGATGGAAGCCAGGTCAGGTGCAAGGCCAAGGTTAAAATGGAAGCCAGGTCACGTTGACATGGCGGCCAGGACTCCTGATGAGTCTGTGTCCCCAAACTCAACTCTTCTTCCTGTTTGAAACACAGACCCAGAGACTTCGGTGTTCCCTGATTCGGTGCATCCCTGAGGGCTCCAGGATGTTTTTTCCTGATGCACCTAAGCTGACTCGTGATTTCTTTTCTGCTGTGCTCACTGTATATTCTGCCCCCTTCTATTATAGCACAAACAAAATAATAGCAGTTCCTTTTTACAGAGAGCCTAGCAGGTAATAGACACTAAATCAAAATTTCAGAGTACACTGACTCATGACTCCCATCAACAACCTTGAGAGAAGATAGCACTGTTTTAATTTTACAGCTCTGAAGCTTCCAGGGTGAGGACGCTTTTGAATAATCACTCAGCTAATGGAGGAGAGATTCTGAATTTGAATGGAGGGTTGTCTGGACCCCAAATCATTTCCCACTGCTTTTTAGAGTATCCTGTGCCTCTCCACTAGCTGTGAACATTTCCAGGAACGATGCTGAATCTAATTCACTTCTGCATTTTCACTGTCTTCAATAGGGCCAGGCCTGCATGACATGATCTGGAAAGTTCTTTAGTATCATGAAAGTCACTTCTGAAGTAGATGGTTCCCAGGGAGGAGCAGAACACCAGTGGACACATTCACGTACATATACATACACAGGCCGTGCACACACACACAGAGACACAGTCAGATGCATATGCACACACAGATCCATGCACACAGAGACAGACACACATGACTCATGAAGGAAACTCTTTTTATAGCCTCACAAAATGAAAATAGAAAGTCCCGAATAGTTTGTGCAGAAGGCTCCAGGTGCCCCTGTGATGTGACTTCTGACCAGCACAGCAGCTGGGGTGGTAATGAATGTAAAGAATGTTATATTTTGAGTGCAATCATTGGCATATATAATTTATAAACAAATACATATATGTGTAAAAGAGGTGAAATAGAATTATCTGTAGACTACTGACCTATAAATATGAATCTAATTGATTGATTCTACCTAAGACAGACTAGAAGGTTCTAACTCAGTGATCCCCAAACACCGTCCTATAAATCTGTATTGATCAGCTTCATGAGAGCCACTGGTAAAAGGCAAAATTTCAGAAGCCATGCCTGGAATTTCCAGCTGCATAGGCTCAGAGTAGGCCAGGGCTCTTCACTTTCCACTGTCTCCCCAGATGGTTCCAGAACACAGTCAGTTCTGTTCCTTTCTGGGCCTTGTCTGTCCTGCCCACAGAAACTGGGTAAAAGAGAAGCTAAAACCCATTCTGTCCTTGCGATTCTATTAACTTAACTGGAATGGAGGAAAGGACATGGCACCAAGAGTCAGGAAAGCTTGATGCTAATTTCTTTTCACTAATTCACCCTCTGACAAAGCATCTGGGCATCTCAGGCCCCTCCTCTGTGCAGTAGGAATGATTACTAAATGCCAGGGATTCCTCACAGTGAATATCTGGAAACTCATTTAATGCATCAGCTTCAATGAAGCCCATCACTAGTGACTCAAGGAGAAATCAAGACAGAGAAGGTGGAACAGTTCAGCTGAGGACACAGTGAGCCTGCTAACCTGTCTCTAGTGCCTGCGCTTTTAAGCACAGTACAATGAGCAATGGGTGATGGATTAAAACTTAGGAAAATAACTGCCGCCCTGAAGACCAGAATCCACCCAAGTCCAAGACTACGTACGGTGGGGAACAGAAAGAAACCTGTTGATCTGCCCATGAGATCTGCTGAGTCAGGTTTGTCCAGTGGCCACAGCTGTGGGAAGAATTCAGAGCTGGTGGCCGTGGCCTGGGTACCAACCCTGATTTGGCACAAAATCAATGAGTCACACACTCCCTTCATGTTCTCTTTGACTTTGCTGTATGTCTGCAGTGCTCGAGGGCCTTCTGCCGCCAAGGATTTATTCTGTGCCTGGTGTTTGCAGGTAAAATTTTGGGAAAAATTGCTTATTTTAGGTGGGCGTGGTGACAGCAGCAGTCACGGCTGAGTTTGCTTTGCTGGAAGGTATCGGAAATGACTGCATCTCCCCATGCCTGAGGCCAACCCAACCACGTCTGGAGACTTGACAGTTTCTGCCTCTTTGCTCCGTTGGCTCCCACACTGGCAGCCCAGGCAGCCAAGGGCACGGCCCGCTGTGGGCAAATCCGACTGAAGGAGGTGCAGGTTATCGGGAGGCATGAGGTTATCGGGAGCCTGAGTTTTGGCCACAGGCAGCCCCCTGAGACCTGAAAGCTCCTTTTGAGAGCACATCCCCTGGCTTAAAAGTGAAAACTTTTGCACTGAAAACCTGTATTCCAAAAATCTTTCTCCCTTTCTGTTTTGAAATGTCAAAGGGCGATTTTCAAAGGTAAGGCCGTGACTTTGAAGAAAGAGAGGTCCTGAACGTCACCATGAACGTGCTCCTGGAGCTCAGGCTGGATATTTTTCTTTTCTCGACTTACAACTCTTGGGAGTTAGTAGCTTTCTTTTTTCCCCCAATAAATGGAGAAATTAAACAACAACAGTTCATAACCATCATGTCACCTGTGCCTGCTAGGCAGGTGTTATTTTGACACTACTGACGAGCTCTCGGGCACCACAGGTCACTCAGCTGGTAGATAAAAGGCTGAAACAGAAGTCTGGATTCTCCAGATTTTCTTGTCAGCTGCACCATGGCTGCCTCACTGAACCTGGCGCTATCACTGAGCTTATAATTATCTCCGTGTCTCCCCTCTCATGGAGAGCTCAGGGTACAGTGGGATTTGAAACAGAGTTTGTTCACCCGGTGGCCCCACTGAGGACCACCCAGAACAAAGTTGTTTCAGTCACAGCTGGACAAATTTAGGTCAGATCTGTAGAAGAATTTCCTGGCCGGGTGGTTAGACAATGGAATGAGTTCCTGAGCAAAGTTGTAATTTTCATCTTGGGAGGATGTGAAAATCGGAGCAGGTTTCCTTTCTAAGGAGCAGAGACATTAACTTGGCATCCTCTCCAGTTGCCTTTACGCCAGAAACGTCCTTAAAAGCCAGAAGATACAAAGCTTGTCCCTGGAAAAGGAGCTGCCTGGCATGGGAGAAAGAGGAGGAGGCCTGAGTGTTGTAACTGCTGTGCCTCAGACCTGCCGAGAGACCGGGGGTAGAGCAAGACGTGAATGCTCATCTGGGTGGAGATTCGATTTCGAATGAGAGGAGAAAAGCCTGACACGGATTAATGACACATGATAACAGGAGGACGAAAATAAGGTCATTTGACGGGGAGACCGAGATGGCCTTACTGGGGAGGCCCAGGTAGTCCTGCCCTCATGTCTTAGTTGCATCTTTGGAATTGTGAGCTGGAAGATGAAAAGGCAGCGTTCTCTGCACAGACAGGGAAGTAGCAACCAAAGCAGAAGGGGCAGCAGGTGCAAGGTCTAGGTCTGTGGCCACATCATTCCATCACTGTGTTTTGCTCACCTGCTGACTCCACCTCTGGGAGCGTGAGAGCCTCGTCGGTAAAAAGAAGAAAGTGACAGTGAACTGTCAGGACCTGTTTCATTGTCTGGCTGTGAGGACTAAATAAGAAATAGAGATATACATGACAGACACACATCTGACTCCCCAAATAGTCTCTAATCATAGTATTGGGGTGTGCAGGTGTTGGGGTGAACACATTGGGTAGAACTTCTGTAAAATGTGGGGTTAACAGTGGAGTGAATACCAAATGCAAAGCCAAGCAGACCCTGGATTGGGGTAGCTGTGATCATCAAGCGAGGATTGCCAAGTCAGCTGTCCTCGAGTCTCAGTACCCCTTCCGTCACTAGTGGATCATAGGCTGCTTCTCTCTGAGAGTTACTGGGAGGGCCGCACTGGGTTCGTTTTCAATGAACATCTCTTGAATGCGCGCTGTCTGCCAGGTCCTGCTATAGAAACTGTGTGGATCCAGCAGAGAACAAAGCCCCCTCCTCTTCCACTGCCATCCTGCCACACTCACATCACGTCCAATCTGGTGAGAAGAAAGAGACAAAAATGCAAATACAAATAACTGAGGTTCTATTTGGAAACATTCCTCACATGGAGCAGCCTTGGTGGAGCAGCAGGTGGTGGTGCACCCCAAGATGAGCTGAGCAGCAGGAGGAAAGTGAGCCCCCACACCTGGATTTCTTTCCCAGGGTTATGACATCAGCTCAGAGCAAATGCCACGTTCATTCCTCTCCAGAACTCCAGGAGGGAGGTGTGGTCACACACAAGCTACAATTTGTCTCTCAGTTCGAGGCCATGAAACATAGCAATTCCGTATTTGGAGTCATGGTCAGTATCCTGGCCTCTGGGAAACCTTTTCCATCTGTTTGGCAATCTTCATGCTGGTTTTTCTCCTTCCGATGTGCACAAACTAGGGTGCTTTTGTTTCACCTTTTGAGCTATGACTTCCTGGAGGAAGGACATTTGTAGCAACTTCTAAGAGTGTGCGAGACACATAGCATGATTGTTTTCTTACAGATGCCACATCATATGCATATACTACATCACATATGGAATATACACATTATTTATATACACTATATAGTATATGTGCTATATACTGTATAGTATACATATGATACATGATATAGACTTATAAAATATGTTTAATATATGTGATATAATAACATTATATTAATGATATACATATATGATATATGTGCAATATATTAATAATATAGGTGCATGATACTATATATATAATATACTATATACATACTGTTATAGGATATATAGTAATATAGTATATACTATATATTGTAGTATAGTATATAGCATGGTATATAATATCATATGTATAATATATATATATCGGTAAGTATAAATATATTCATTTTTGTACAACAAAATCCCACCTTTACTGAGGTCTACTCTTGGGTCTATGCTATAATGCTAAAAAGTAAAAGTAAGGTGCATCGTCTTCTTTCAGGCAGTCACAGTACAGATGATGGAGAGATATAAACAACTAAATTTAGAAAAAACAAATGAAATGCATGATCAATAGTTACTAAAGTCTGAAATCCTGGTATCTTCTGACACGCAGACCTACTGCTGCAACCCGACATCAGCTCATCCGAGCAATGAACATAAAGAGTGAATCAAATTCTGCTGAAAAGGCTTCTCCCTCTGAGGCACCCCTAATACACTGCATTTCCCAGTGTCCCCTACACCCAGAAAAGACTGAACATTTTTTAAATATTGATTTGTACAAGGAATCCGACAAAGAAGAAAAAGAAGTCTGAAGCATAAGTGCCAGTTGTTGCAGCCATAAATAATGAACCTGCAATTGTTTGTCTTCTTGCATGGGAGGTTGTGCTTGTATCTGATGTGCAAGGTTGTGCTGGTAGAGATGAAAACGATTGTCTAGTGTTTCCTTTTAAAGAGCCACAGAGCTTACTGGACCCAGGGTTCTCACCTTCCCAGGTAATTAAAGGCTACAGTTCATGCTGATTATGGCTTTATTCCTGGGGCTCCAGTTTTTATTTTTAGCCTGTGAAGACGGTGCCTATTTCAACTTTGGATACCAACGATGTGGTCTCATTTGGTGGTGATATTGAATGTCTTTGTATCAGCCAGTATGCCGTCATAGCTGAGGGATTATATACCAGGGGAGGGCTGTGAAATCAATTGAAGAGTAATCTCCTTGGAAAAATAGTGCTGCCGTAGGAAGCAGAATAATTGACTGTTCTATAATAAGGAGCAGAACACAGGCAGCCTTTGGACGCAGGACTTCCAGCCATAACCTGATAAGTCTCTGACGTTGGTGTGGGCATGTCGTCCAGTTCACACTGCATGGATGCTCAGCCTGTGAAGGCACCAGCTTGCGGGCCATGTGGGTCTCGTACTGGACTCACACACACTACCTGCGACCTTGACAGAGAGCGCTCGTGGCTCTCTCTACCTAGTTGCTAAATGAATAGAGTCAGAGACCAAAAGGGGTAAGAGGTGGACCTAACTCCTAGCCCTTGCTTCTTTGCACGAGACAGCATTAGGATTCATCTCTTGAAATATTTTGAATAAACTGTAAGATCCAATTCAATTGCCTACAACGGTGCTCAGCATTTAATGGTGACTATGGCTGCCCAGATATTTGGTGATCGCAAAGATAACTTGATCCTTTTCTGAGAAGAGACATCCTTTTCCATGTGCTTTAACTCAAATTGCCTCTTTACGGGAATGTTTTCTGGTCATTTAAATAGATCATACGCTCTGCCCAACATGACCTTCTCCTTTTATCCTGCCTTCTGGTAAATTATTCGTAGTCGTTTCTAAGAACTTCCAGATACAGGTAATCATTCCAGCCTCTGCTCCGGAGATCCTCCCTCCCCGCCTCGCCCACCACTGCGAGCTGTGGGATCTTGGCCGTGTAACCAGCCCTCGTTATGTCTCAAGGTCAGTGTCCTTGGAAAGGAGACCCAGGCCCAGTTCCTTTTTGTTTCCATGTTGCCTAGTATGTGCCCTGCACATAGTAGGTGCTCATGTGGTGCTTAAAGCCGAAAGGGAGTTGAGAGGGGAAGAGGGAGCTTGACATGCAGTCACCGTGTGGAGTCAGACGTCTTGCGGGAGCACACATGGGCATCTCAAGCCAAATGTGGCCGCGGCAGGGTGTGGGAACTGAGGGCTGATGGGGTGTTTTGGAGTCTACAGAAAGATGAGAGTCACGGAGCAAGTCTGCCCTGGGCTATAGGATGGGTGCTTCGTCCACAGCCATTGTTCAGACGCCAAAGACTCCCCAGAGACTGGAGCTCTTACTGGTTTTCATCTCAAGCTCCTGTGATAGCAGAGTAAGTGGGAAATAGGCTACACTGACAGCGTGGCCTCCCCTTTGGGCCGGAGTTACAAATGCCGGGCACCAGGCCAAGTTCTTAAAATGCGTTCCCTGTAGGCAGACATCATCCCAGCCCTCTGGCTGTGAGGGAGGAGGCAGGAGGCAAGAAGCTCAGGCCAGCCCCGCTGCAGTCCCTTTAGTTAATGGGCCACCCACAGTTGCCCCAGAGATGGGTAAGTCCTCGCCTCATTTCCTGATGAGAAAATCGATGTTCGAGGGGTGAGAGCTGGCCCAGCTGGGTGTGACATCAGGATCCTGCCAGGTCTGCCCAGGCCCCGTCCTATCCTTTCCGGTCCCCCTCTCTGGGCCTTGTCTACCTTCCCCAGCTCTTGGAAGAAATACAGTCACTCACTATCAAGCTGTGAAGCACTGCCCCGCCCCATCCCAGAAAATATATTTTTCACCATCAGCAGATCGTGACACTCTCACGAGCATTTGGACATTACAGAGACTCATTTGATGTGGATTCTGTCCTCAATGGGGAATGAAGTCAATGACAGACAAGACCTGGGTATTCTACCCTTCTCATAATTCACCACGGCTGATGCATGACCAAGCATATTCCATGTTGGATGAGAAGGCCCAAAAGATTGGCGGGTGGGGGGTGGGCCTGCATGTCTTCGGGCAGAGACTTGCTATCTCCATTTCATTATCTGTAAAATAAGTGTAGCGACAATCACAACAACAAAAAAAATGCTACAATCCCCTAGATCCTGGGCCTTTCACATCAAGTATCTCACCATCTCTTCTTTTTCTTCCTTGCCATTCTGGGAAGATTAATTTTTACATGTCAGCTTGCCTGGCCCACCAGGTATTTGGTCAAGCATTATTTTGGATGTTTCTGTGAGGGTGTTTTCCAAATGAGAGTAACATCTAAGTGGTTGAATTTGGAATAAAGCAGATTGTCCACCATACGGTAGATGGGCCTCATCTAATCAGGTGATGGTCTGATAAACCAAAAGACAGGATTCTGCCAGCAGATGGCCTTTGAAATTGAATTGTTACTCTTTCCAGAGACTCCAGCCTGCCAATTGCCCCCATCAGGCTTGCCAAATCTCCAGAATTATGTGAGCAAATCCCCTAAGGAAATCTGTGGTTTCTGTGTCTCTGGAGAGCCCTAACATACCTTCCTTTCTTCTTTATTCACCTCTTTACCTACCTCTTTTCTCCCTCTCTCCCTCCCTTCCTTTCTTCCTTCCTTGCCTCTCTCTTTCCTGCTTTTTAGGTGAGGAAATTGATTCAAGGAGATGAAGCAAATTGGTCAAAGTTTACTGAGAAAATGGGACTAAATTTTAGGTCTTCTTCCCTCCAAAAACCTCCACAGTGTCCAGAGCTCCAGTTTAGTGAACTGTAAAGTTCTGTGCAAAGATGTGGGCCTCTCCTCAGGGGTCTTGGACCTTTACGCAGGTTGTGGATCATAGAGCTAATCTAGCCTCAACTTTTTATCCCTTGTTGCGAATCCCAGGCCTGTGAGAGTATCATGGGACAGTCCAAGACTCTCACATCTTCTGGGGCTTCACAGAGTCTTGACACCAAGTATTTATTGTCTTTCTCTGTTACATTTTGCAAGCAAAATAGCATTTTTATGAAGGTGAGCATCGCATTTCATGGAAAAAGGAAACATTGCAGTCGATCAACGGGTCACGTCCACAGCAGGTGCATTAAAGCCACTCTGAGCTGTCCCTCCCCTCTCCATTCTCACCTGGGATGGAGCTCACACTTCCATCAGCTCTTCCAGAGCATTCTCTTCATCTGTCCTGCTAGCATGGTGCTGCATGCAAACCATTTTCCACACACAGACAGGGAGATGTGTTTCAGTTGGAAATATGACTCTGCTACCCTTTTCCCTCACTTCCAGGCAAACACCTACCACGTTTATGATTGTCCACAGGTTCAAATCCCAGCTTCTTGGTATTGTAAAGGCCCCTTGACACCAAGTCTCACTTCTCACTAACCCTCCATCTAGCCTTATGCTCTTGCCGTAGTAAGTGGCAGTTTCCCCTGAGGCAGACCGTGCTATTGTTCACAATGCCGAATGCTACTCCTTGCTGGGTCCCTCCACACTATCACTAACAGTCCTGGGCGGCCGTGTGTCTTGCCTTGGCCAATGAAATGTAACATGAGCGACAATGGGCACTTCTAACCCGCCAGGACCT